CTTGCCTTGCCTTGCCTTGCCTAATTGTATGCATGACACGTGACTTCACTTGGACACAACAATATATATATATTATATATACACTTGTCTGCTCAAATTGAGGCTTTTTTGAGTTGTTAAATACGCTGCAGTGTTTTTTAAAGTGACTTTTGCTCTCTCTGCATTTTTACCCAGCTTTCATTGCATAAAAAAATGTTATTTTTGAACTAAAAGCATATAGGCTCTTCACACTCTCAGAAAAAGATTTTTGGTCTCTGTTGTCAAGTTGCTCAGCTGTGGGCTAAGGGCCATGTCTACCTTAAAATCCTGATGAACCCAACAATCAGCAGATAGAATGAGTCACAACCTTTAACATGGGTCTTTTAATAGAACAGATATCTTATATATCTTGCATTTTTTAGATATATTTGCCCTCACATTAAATTGTGCTAAGAAGTGTAATATAGCGTTTAGACTGGTATGAACAAATAAGATTAGGAATCACAAAATACACACTTTTGGTGTTTTAGTTTTCTGCTCTATTTATTGTGCAACAGAACCTCAACACAAAACATAAGCTCAAACATTTTTAATTTAATCTTATCAATCATAGAGTCAGAAAACAAATATTTGTATGTGAGCCTCTAATCTGTACTGTGACATTTGGATCAATGCAAAAGAGTGATAAAATCAGCATCCACTGGAGAGCAGAGCAGCATTTTAATAAGTCTGTGTACTTATTTCACCAATTTTGGACAGATTCAAGCAAACAGAGAATGAACTAAGTAAGAGGATCTGAAGGCTGCATAGGCTAAATAGATCACACTAAGGGGTTAGTCGGAGCAAACTCACGCTAACTAATGCAAATTTATTGCAGATAAAGGTACAAATTAGTTGGTTAATGCCTGTGATGTGATTTTCAAATCTAGACAGAAACTGGCTATAAGCAAGGCCAGCAATTATCAAATTGCTCACAGATGGTTTCCTCTGGTAGAAATGGTGTGTCAGCCTTAAAAAAAACAAACAAAAAACACAAAAAAACGTGAAGCCTCTAATTAGAAGTTCACCTCTTCATGCCTCACTGTTAGATGTGTCGAAATGTCCTTTTTATTGCTTATTTGACTGATGAATACACAAAGGACAGCAAACTAAAGTAGCAAGTGCCTACTAAGATATGTGAAGGACACATTAGGGTTTAAGCTGTAATTATTAAGAGTTTTACCTTTTCTGAGAAGCAGAAGAAGTTGCCCTTTTTGTAGCTCCACCGTGAAGCTGAGCTCATTTTGTCCTTCAGCATGAAACAGAATCCCAGAGTTTTTCAGGGTTTTAAATTTTAGATACATGTTGTCTGAAGATGTCTGTCTTGGTTTCCGAATGGACTTGAGAAAAAGGCTGCTGTCACCATCAAAGCTCACTGTGTTGGAACCTGGAAAAGGATTATCATTAGCACTTGTACATTCAGATCCATCCATCCATTAAAAATAAATACATATATTATTTTGTTTAATAGTTTTTTCCTTTTTGCTGCCAAACATCTGTTGCTTGTTTGATTTAGGCATTTTTAATAGTTCCAAAGAAGCTACTGATAGAATAGGGAAGTTGGCAGCAGCAAACACGAAGTGAAACAAAAAAAAACAAGCTGCAAAAATGTGTGTGATGCTAACTCCTAAACACCCTAACACAATAAACAAAGGCAAGAGAAAAACACTGCAAACAGAAAATGCTGCAATCACTTGAAAAGAAGCAAAACCCTACAATCAACAAAACATGAATGCAAACACAAACTGCTGCAACAACAAACAAGACGCTGAAATCACAGAGAGAAAATTATGCAAATAGTAAAAATAATAGCAAACTCTATTCATAAAACAAAAATGCTCCAGACCACTAGAGGGAGCTGAACGAAGAACAAGTCACCTGTTCGCAGCATGTTTCCCTTTTTTTTTCAGCATTCTTTTCTTTTTTGTTTTTTAACTGATTTGGAGTTTAAATCACATGTTTTAGCAGCTCACTGCATCATTTACTGAGTGTTTGCAACTATCTACCACCATAAGAATAAGGATTAAAATGAAAAATCTGATGCTTGAACTGCATCAGAATTCAGAAAAGGTTCAAACTGATTTAAAAATCACATAAATAAATACACACAGTCAGGACATGAAAAGAAAAAATTAACTACTGAAAATGATTTCAGCTCGTTGGTGCAAAAGTAAAAGAGAAAAAACTGACTGTAAGTACATCCATAAGCCTCAAGCCTCAGCCCAATCCGACCATTTGGATTCCATTTGAGAGGAACAAGGCGAACAAAGCGAGCAATCACATCCTGGAGCTTGTGTTGGACCACACTGTCTGCATTAGTGTTTCCTGGAAAGGCCTGGAAAATAGCAACATGATGGAGAAAAAAAAACTAATCAAATGTGTAATCTTAATATTTAAATCCCAGTTAATTCTTTAAAAAAAATCTGTCAAAAGTCAAGGCTCAAATGCAGTTGTGAAAGTGATATGAACTGTCTGACATGAGATGGGCTGCAGGGTGTGAGATATGGCAGAAGGGTGATAGGGGAATGGCCAAGGGCCAGCTGGTGTTGGATGGTATGGATACCATATGCTGGTGAAGATTCTCAGTCATCCAGTTCATAGTCATTCCAAAAACATTAAGAAACAATCCACTGGACTTGGTTTCCAAGTTTGAAGACGGAAAGGTTTTTCCATTCCAAATGTCGGCATTTTGAATTGAAAAAGCTGAGTGAGTGAAAAATGAGTGAGTCGCTATTGATCTACAACTCAGTGCTCTCTGATATCACCGATATCTAATATCTAACTAATCAGTACTTGCTGTGATTCCGGTTGGATTGACAAAAGTACTCCAGCCGCTGGATATTGGTGTCAACGGGGCATTCAAAGCTAGACTGTGAACTGTGTGGGAGCAGTAGATGACAGAAGGCAAACACATGTTTTACAAAGACAGGGAGACAGCGCTGAATGACATACCACATTATATGCCAGTGGATTGTAAATCCCTGGACTGATAAATCAGCCTCTACTGTGGTCTGAGCTTACAGGAAGCAAGAATTGTCACTGAACTGCCAGACAAGAGCAGCGACATTGACTCAAATAATGACGACTTTGACGAAACAGAGCCTGGCATGTTGGATCCTGTAATAGCCCAACTGTTCAATTCGGACACTGAAGGAGTAGAATTCAAGTTATTCATCAATGAGAAATAAACAGATGTATTGAATTGTTTCTTTTGTGTCTTTAGAGCAGAAAAAGGCTGGTAATATTGTAAATACTGTAATATATTAATAAAGTTAAACTTACTTATCTGACTGTTTTATTTAAATTCTCTTTAGCGCCACTGCATCTAGTGGATGTATAACGCAACCCCAGCCACTACTGTAGCTTCTATTCTATGCGGCTTATAGTGTGGTGCATCTTGTATATATATAAAAAAAAAAATTAAATAGGCCATTAAGTATATAATCCGGTACTACCTTTTAGTGTGGAAAATATGGTACTTACTCTTCTGCCTTCACAAAGATATGAACTGAAGCTAAATCGCATTCTTAATTCTCACTGACTGGCATCAGCCTTTGTGACTGGGATGTATTTTCTCAAGTGCAAGAACTATCTGTACCAGTGTCGTCCAAGGCTATGTGGTTTTCTCTCATCTTTTTGCTCTGTGCAAAAGTGACTGCAAATCAGAGGGCAAGTTGGTTCAACTTCTCAAGTTTGCAGATGAAATCATTGTCATTGGTTTGAACGAGACAAGATGACTTAACATAGTTAGAACCACCTCAAGTTTAACCTACACAAGACAGTGGAGATGATGCTTGACTTCTAAAAAAACCTGATTCAACGAATCTCCTCTGGTTCAAATAACTTGAGGTGGTCCTCACACATAGACATTGTTCAGGAGAGGGCCCAGCAAAGACTGTCCTGCTGCAACTTAGAAGTGAAACCATCCAAAGAACCTGCTTATTTTCTACAGTATTTCTACATTACTCAATCTGTCATTTGGTCTGCCATCACTGTGGCGTTTGGCCTATCCGCAAAATTTGACAAAATTCAAACAGCAACGCTCAATTCAGTCTGCAGAGATGATCATATGGAAAATTTATCCTCCAAATAAAATGGAATTTATGGATCTGATCAGCTGGTCTCTCGGCAGTATTGATCAAATTTTTCTCCATGAGGAAAGTGGGCAAAAGAGAGCCCTCTTGCCCCGACGGGACACATGCTGATGGGGATGTTCTGGACTCCTGCGGGAAATGAAAGAGAATGTTCCTTTCTGTAATGTTGCCTGAGAATGTCTAAGATGAGTGCATAATGATATTATTGATTGCAGGATTTCTGCTTATTGGACTTGGTGTATGCCTGGTCTGTTGTGAAATTCGGAAAATGTTGACAGCCATTCAGGCATGAGGAGATTGCCAAACCTGTGTGATGGAATATGCTGAGCTACCAACAGTAAGACTCAGATGCGATTGGGTCAGAATTTCAAACTGTAGGCAACCCTTGCTGAGGCTCACAGGCCAGCTGTGGTCCTGGATATGGCAGGTAGAATGGAACAGATCATGGAGAAAGCTGTAAGTTCAGCGAAGCAAGAGCGACCAAGAAATTTAGATGATTGGAAGTTCTCTTTTTGTTTCATTGAGACTCTGAGGCAGATAGTCCACAGTGTCTGCCTGAACAACGACGATTGTAATCATCTGAATATGGCTCCCATTCACATTCTTCTGGATGTTATGTTAACAGACGCCCCTTACCATCCCTATCCCTACATCTGTGATCTGATGTCCAGCAGCTTCTAAGGTCAACCTGATGGACACTACATCTTTATCAGGAACTATGGCTGGTAGGGGCTCTGAGCTTGGCTCATGGACAAATCAGAATATCGCCCATTAGTACAGATGCCCAAAGCTTACTAGTTTCCCTAGCTTCCATGTACAGTTTTTTTTTTTTGCAACTTCATATTGGACCTTCTAAAGAGTAAGATTTAAGTTTTTAAACCCCCCAACCCAGCGTGTTTGCAATTATCTTCTAAAGCCGTGCATACACTGTACGATTTTCTCAATCGTTGCATGCAGCTACAGCTCACACTTTACGATGAAACCGCAGGATTTAAAAGTTCACCACTCACGATGTTTGTTCTCACACTGTGTGACCCGACGGTCTCATGCGATCTACCTGCTCACACTTTACGACTAAAAACCACGTCGGACTCAGCTCCGCAGGGAGATGGGGCTACTCGGACTCATCTATCCGGAGGCTAAATGAGTAGAAGAGGAATATGAAGCTCACTAGAGTAAAATGTTAGTCCTATATTTTTGGTTTTTTACTCAAGGATTCAATTTTAATGTTTGAATGTACCCATTACACCTGCTTGCAAATAAACTTAACACTAACAACTTTTCTACCATACTGTTACAACAATAAACTTACCTCTACACGTCCTTCCCATCTGTACTGTTTCCAGTTATGTCCAGTGTCACTGAAAATCAGCTGGTAGGCTGTCTGCCAGTCAGAGCTCCCGTAGCGACCCTGAGTAGCAAGAGCTGTGATTTGCATTCTCCCACCCAGATCTACCTCAAACCACTGATGCTTATCTGAACTCAGAGGAGACCAACCTCCAGCACCTGGAGCAAAAACAACAGAGGAGGGTATCTAATTAAACATCTGAGAGGTACTGGTCATTTCTTCACATTAGGAATTAGAATGATGACAAGAAAGATATAAACTTTCCTTAAGCATTAAATTCCGTGTGAACTTGTGAGCATTTGGCCCTTTTACATGGCCACTCAAAAGCCTTTGAATCTATTTGAAATACCAGGTACTGTACTTTTAAATCTGTGTTTAAGGGGCAGAGCCCCAATTCTTCGTGTTAGTCAGTTGTTCATTAATTATTTTAATACAAATAGTATTTTAAATATGTTTTTAAGCATAGTCATAGTCATCTACTGTGTGGTCAGTTTATCAAATTTACCACCTGCTTTTAAATATGCTTTTATAAGATGGAGGAATCCCAGGGCCAGGCTAGTCTGGCAGTCATGACGTGTGAGGCTGGGTTGAGGACGACCCCCCACTGAGCCATGTCACCAACCTATATACAACAGCTTTAAACATCTCAAGTTAAAGGGTTTTACAGTGATTGCATGTTAGGTTTTGCTGAATTATTGATATGTAGGTTCTTAACTAGTGATAGGTTTTTCTAGAATCCTACAATTTCCTACTTCTATGAAGGAATTGAAAGGGTCAGTGTTTGCACTTAGCACTGATAGGATTAAAACATATAAACATGCTAATTATCTCACTCGTGACTGGTCAGGTTATGCTATAGCCAGGTTAGGGATGAATGGGCCTTTTAATGAAGAAAAAATACAGAAAATATCTAGATTGCCCAGAAAAAACGCTAAATTTACTCTCTAAACAATATAAGATATTGTGGAAACTCGTTTGTCTCACTGAAAGTAGTTTGGTTTTTACAGAGTCTCTTAATTTCCGCTTATTAACCAGATGTTAAAGAATGATTACTTTTATTGCCAATACATTGAGTCCAACATTCTGCCTGGGAAATGTAAATTTTTTTGTTTTGAGGCAGAACAGCGGTATTTCTGTCTCACTAGGTGAGTAGGAACAGAAAATATCCTTAAGAATAAATTTTCCTATATTGCTTGTTTTTCAGATAAAAAAAACTACGCTTTGCAATTATAAAACATTTAAGCATGTATCGAGAGAAAAGTGGAGCAGAGAGAAAGTAAGAGAAAGCTAGAGCAGTCTCCACTAAAGCAGTTTCCAGTAAACTTACCAGCACTCTGACTAGCAGTGCAGGAGCAGAGATAATATTTTTGCAATTTCAAACTGAAACCTTAACATTAGAAATTGAAAAATCCCCAGTCTTCTGATGCTGATTGTTTGCGGTAACTGTTGAGCACCTAAAGTGCCAGTATGCAAGGCAACTCTATTATGTTGTCAGAACAGGCCCAATGCTTCAGTTTAAGGGGGATGTAAGACTAATGCAACTGGGAAAGAATGTAATCTGAAATAAAGTGCAGGTTGATTTATCCTTAAAAAGTCCAAACAAATAAACCTCTGGAGGTCTTAATGCTGAGGAATGAAAGGATCTGGTAAACTAGTGATGACAGCATTGGCTTTGCTTGACTTTGAAGACAACAAAATGGTTATAGGACAATTATTTTACAATTATCTGTCAAAAATAAGAAATATTATCAATCCACAGAATACCTATACATTCAATATGACTGTAACTACCAGATAGAGGAAATTTTCTTTTTTTTCTTTTAATAACTAATGCACATAAAGAGAAATAGTTAAAAACCCTCCAATACTTAAAAAAGACACCTAAAGGGCATAGATTAAAAAAATTATTTACATATTTTAAAAAAGCTATTGCATTGTCACTTACCTTCTCTGCGGTTTAATTTAGCAAAACCCGGGCCATGACTGCTGGACAGCTGGGAGGAGCTTCTGAATGAAGATGGTGATAAGGTTGACAGTAGCGGTCTGTGACACGTTTCTAATAATCACACAAAAACACACACAGTGTGCTTCAATCTTAGAACAGTTAATTAACATTGAGTGTTTCATCCATCTATCTGTCCGTCCTTCAATCCATCCATCCATCCTTCAATCCATCCATCCATCCATCCTTCAATCCATCCATCCATCCTTCAATCCATCCTTCAATCCATCCTTCAATCCATCCATCCTTCAATCCATCCATCCTTCAATCCATCCATCCATCCTTCAATCCATCCATCCTTCAATCCATCCATCCAT